CACACACACACACACACACACACACACACACACACACACACACACACAGAGAGAGAGAGAGTCTGGTGTTGTCATTTCCTCTGCAGAATTTTATTTGTTGCTTGGGTATTTTGTTACAGATCAACGGTATCACTCCATATACAACTACAAGTACGGTATTTTGTACAGTTCACACTGAAATACAGTTTATTGGCTTATTTACAAAACACATTTTTTTTTTATGTACATGTTTTCATGTCAGTGCAACGTCACTTTCTTTCAACATACATCTTACAAAAGAATTCTTTAAATTAACACGTCTGGTTCAGATGAACTTAAATAAAATGAGGCTACAGACACTGACAGACTGCTCAGTAGTAAATTGCACTGCCTGCCGGGGGTGGCTTAATATATTATTTTACTTGGTTCAATTTTAGCGGCAAAGTTGAGTTCTTTCGGGCAGAAAATCGTTTTTCCTGGATTATGAAAATTGTGCTGTATGAACTGCGACTTTAAGTTGTGTTGTTGCGCATACAGTTGAAGCTATAGGTGTGGTTAGCTTAGCATCACACAAGTAGATGCTTGAGGCAACATTCACAGCCACAAAAGAAGTCGACAACTATTGCACCTTTAAATGAAGCAAACATTACAAACTGGGTCCTCAAGAGACTAATCCTTAGGAAAATGGTCCCTTTGAGCCACGTCATGATGTTTTAAACACCGAAACACACTGGACATCGTCTACAGCTCGGTGCAAAGGCAGGAGGACAAAAAGCGCTGAGCAAGCAAACATAAATAGCACTCCTCTGAACATTTCCATTTGTTCAACAAACGTACTCTGCAAAGCAGAAATAAAGTTTCATTCAGTGACAGATACCTCTCTCCTCCTCACAAATACAGCAGCTACAAAAGAGGTGAGCACAGAGACTCCTCTCCTGTGATCTAGAAGACTAAGTGGGGGAACTGCTGACTGTATTCTTTCCGTTCACAGTGATTAGACCGAGCCCCTCGAAGGAGGATCTCCACACATGCTGCTACACACCAGACACAAAGCTCTGCCACTGGACTCCACACAGCACAACATTTCCAACTAACCTCCGTCACATCAAACAGCCAAACCTTCAGACCGAAGGAGGAACACAATTTGGAATTCACATGAAATCAATATTTAGAGTCGGGCCGACAGGAAACAAAAGATAATCTAAATGTGATGGGTTTAGTTTTTACAGGTCTGACTACAGTCCAGACAACAGATTCAACAGACTGTTTATTCCTCAAAAATAACCCCAAACAGTAAAGTGAAACCATCTCATATCAGTGGGTTTATGGGGACAGAAGGTTTGGTAACCTTATATTGTAAGGGTAGGGAATTTACCAATAGTGTTTTTCAGCATTTCTTGATATCCAGAGGAATTTCCTTAAAACAACCCTAAAAGAAAGGAAATATTAAATACATATTTATGCATTATCAATCTAATATCAGAAACTTTATTCTCCATACATTTTGAAATGTATGCTTGCCTGTCGCCAAATAAGTTGAGCGATTAACAGGGATTTACTGGTCTGAAGTGCATCAGTTGAAACTGTCTCCACTTCCTCTCTAATTGGCACCAATGTTTTTGTTCTTTCTAGAAATCTTCCAATGATTTTGCAGTTTGATACAACGTCCTTTATTGGACATTATTGGCTCTGTGGGCCTCATTAGGGCTAAAGTGACCCGCTAGGGGACATCAGGACCACACATTGGGTACAGTGCTACTTTGTATTTGACTAATTAGGTTATGGTAAATAAATGAAACACATTCACTTAGGAATATGCACTGCAGAAGTATGATATTAAGTAAAATACTAAATGCAGTAAAAGTAGATTTCGACATATGGGCCCCTAAGAATACAGGGCCCATGAGAGTCTGGGACCCTGAGGGATGTGCCCTCTTTGCCTGGTAGGTAATCCTGTAAAATCAAGTTTTTACAGATATTTAGCAGGACGCCATCTTGAAAATCAAATTCACCACAAGGTGCAGGTGAGCGTTCCGTGTTTGGCAACGTTGAGAAGAGCAACTTAACACCCGCTGAAAATGTGTTTTCTGGTGACAGGAGCAACCAAGCACAAGAAACAGGACTGAAACTTCCAACCAGAGGGGGCAGTAAACTCCCTCGCGTTCAACGGAACTCAACAAAGTTTGATGTACAGGCGCAGTGAGCACTGTGTGAAAAAAAGAGTCTTTTGTGTCTCCAGAGGGAGCTGTTTGAAGTCTGATGAATGTCTTCAAGTGATGTCACTTGAGTCAGTGTCGGTTGGGGCTAAAGACTACAAGTCTGAAAATGTAAAAAAGAAATCAGAGGGTGCGGAGTTAAACAGAGGTGAGCTTACCAGACCTCTGAAGCCGTTTAACCGCTACTAGCATAACATGCCCAAATTCTGAGCTGCATTGTGGGTAATGTAGGCGCAAAGTATCGACAAGATGAATGTGTGGAATAGAAAAGATGGTACCTCATGTTCTGCCAAATCAATTTTGATATTTTAAAACTGGCCTTCGTGGGTCTGACATGGCTGTGGGAGTGCGTTGCCAAATCAGTGGAGGACTCTGAAGTTACTCTTTAAACGGTAGAATGTTAAAATGACATGTAAGACCATTTTGTAACTACAACAAAGTTATCCCTGACTTTCCAGGGAGCGTCATCAGTATCACAGATGAGTTTGGATCTCAACAGTTAAGAGTTGCAGCAGTCGAAAAGTTCATGTTGCTACAGTGTGAAAACAAGCCGGATGCCTGGTGAAGCTTTGAGACTCAGTTCCATTCCTAACCTGACCTGGCCTTAAGAAAAAGAAGAAAAAAAAACGCTAAAATAAATCTTTTATAAAACAACACATTTGCAGAATTCCCCCCCCCCCCCCTAAAGAAGTATTAAACATATACTGTATATGAATCTTTAAGCGAGTCTCTTTTGAAATCATGGCACCTGTCCTAAACAAACCCAGACTGATACTTCTTGAGTTTCAGAGACGTTATGTGTACACACAGGTCAACATTGCACAAATCACCACTGATGTTTGGCCGCTGTGGAATGAAAAACAGTTTTGGCAAAAATGCCGTCTTTTATGTCCATCAGGACCTGTGAGCGTGTCCTAGCAGTGGGAGATATCTTTTGAAATGATTAATAATACTGTCACAGACTTTTAGGGCCGACAGACTGCAGGAAGCGATGAGGTAGCGCGTGACTTATGTTTCCTTAGTATCCAATATACTAGATTCCTAACGTCAACATCATGTTGATCTGTGGCATCAAATATCAGCACAGGCTCTTTAACCCGTGGGCCCCGTTTGCTCTCGGCATTTCAAACCCAACCTGTATCCAATCATTGGCTTTGCATTTACATCTGGACATTGTGAGGCCTTCTCCAGGTCAGATATCCAGGCTCAGAACACATGATAACTCCCGCTGGATGTGCTTCTCATTCTGACATCACAAGTGATAAACGCACAATCACTAAGCAACATCACTTCATCACTTGGCCATACTGGCATACATTCAGAGATGCGTTAGTATGCAAGTATAATGTTACATGTTTGTTATGGCGAGGGTTGTTCGCAGTGGGAGAAGAGGCGGTTGGTGGGCGGGTGGGGAGGAGGCGCGGGATGGATGCCAGTATGGCCAAGTGATGAAGTGATGTTGCTTAGTGATTGTGC